GAGCCATATTAACAGACTCGTTTTGCGTGTCTAATGCTCGGAGTTCAATCCGGGGCACGTTTCAAATATACAATGCTGATGAGCTCTGATAGGAGCAAAATTAGTGCCAACCACTTCCTTTCTTTGACATTGACTCATTAGGGTAGTTTGGTCAAGGAAATAGAAGTGCTGTTCTTTCGGGATGGGTCTGAAAATTAAATTTATTGTTAAACTGACCGTGTTGAAAGGAATCTTAACTAAGGAACAAGATATATTTTTATCGTTAACCAACCGAGCTCGATCATGCACATCCAGAAATTGGGAATTGTTGCTCACAGGCAAACAAGCAAATCAATTAATTATGTGATTTTCGTGGGGTAGTCTCCATTTTTGTGAAACAGAAAGGGGCACTTTTGCTTACATTTCATGAGTCTGCTTCAACAGTCCTAATTCCTTCGGGCATCTTTTGTTCATAATCAGCCATAAAACCAAGTTGCATGCATTCATAAACAGTGAAACGACGGGGAAATAGAAAAAACGGCGCGAAGGGGAAGGAGAGTCTATTGACACGGATATTGTCCACAGAAACGTCTTGAATCTGAGCCTGTTTATGATTCATAACATGTTTCAGAAGCATGCTCCTGCTAAGCCCACGTCTTCTCTAGTGTTGGCATCATAGAGAGAAACTGGCCATGCTAGATTGCGACATTCGAGAACCACAACTGGACACATGGCGATACTGAACCTAGAAATAAAGTCTATCCACGGTGTGACTATTGCATGGCGTTACAAGCCTGCGTCGTGACCCATTTTGCTGATGGAAGCTATTTCCATTAGCATAAACTAAAGCGTTTACCACGAATATTTAGCTACAATTTTAAACTAATCTTAGAATACTGATGCATGCCGTTCCGTTGAATGATCGGTTTCTGATAGAACTCTGGCCAAGCAGTCTCTGTGTAGAACTTGTACGCATTGCAGCTGTTTCTAATGCGGCGTACTCGGAGTTTGATTAATGAGTCCCATTAGATTTCTTTGACCCTCACAGAGCCCTAATTCGTCGTTTAAATACAACCTGTCGCACAGTTGATCACAGTTCCCAGTGTAAAAATCGATAAATTTGGATGAAGACCTTGTGAAGAGTTTGATTTTTTCTGTGAGGTTTGTTAACCATTGAATGAGGCAACGTTCGCTGAAGGCTTGCACGGAGAGGTGAATAAGGTAGCCGGACTTACTGTTTCTCTTGTGTAAATTGTCTGCATCAACACTACTTTGTTGTTATGTATTATTCACGTTATTCATGCTTATACTCTGGACTACTTTCCCAAGAAAATGGTAATAACTGCTCAGTTTGATAGTCTCAAAACTTACATGCAAGTTGTGTGATACGGGTTTTGTTCTCTGGTGGGAAATATGATCGTAGGACTGCGAACGGGGAATTCTTCCGGGAGGGGAGTTTCCTGGGGAATAAAGTGTGGGGAATTGTTTGGTTACAAGAAACGCACATACAAGGGGAATACGAAAAGTCTTATTGAAAAACGCAATCACTTAAGAGCTATTTAAACAAAATTTGTTAGTAGGAGTGTTCTTTACATATTTGCGGGGCGTTTTTGCCGCAGTACAAAACTTCATGGTAAACACATTCGCATGAACTATCAAGCATTGCTCATGCATATAACTGTGGGGTAATACTTATGAAAGGATTCTGTAAGAGTATATCAAGAAAACATAACTCATGGTATCAAAAAATCTTCCCGTCATCACATTTCCTGCGAAATTTACACAAAATTACGATCTTGTAGCGGGTACCATTGGAAATCCAGTCGGAGTTTTGGCATTTATAATGAAATTCTGAACACGTATAAAGCCAAATAATACCATTTAATGGCATGAAAAACACCCATTCAAACACCATAACACCTTAACCGCAACTTACCCCCTTTTTACGCGCCAGAGATCAACCAAATTATCAACACGCTTTAGATGTAATCCTAAACTTCAGTACTTTATTGAAACGTGGGATTTTGCAATAATAAATGTTAAATCGTCCAACCTCAACTCACGAAACAAATGTAGCTCATATCGTTCAAGATAAACTCATAACTGCTTCACTTTCATGGAAAAGACTTAGATTGCAGCATTTGAGTACGTTTAAATCAGCGTTATCCCGTCCTATCCTGCGAATGTATTGTGTGTCAAAACCGTGGCTTATTCTCATACTTTATACCTGCCTACTACGAATAGTTTCCAATGTATTTCCACGTGTTGAGCACAGAAATCACTAGCAAAAATACTACTTTTGAAAGTAAATATTAGAGCTTCCTCCAACTAAAATCTGATTCAAAAATTGATTTTTTTGCTAAAACTCAAGGTTTAGATAGAACGATATGAATGCTATACATATCATTCAACTCAAAAATGGTTTAATAGTGCGGAAAAGGAATCACTTTGTGCCTTCGAAAAAGTTTGGTGACAATCGGTAGATTTATTGCTGGGCAACGTTTCGCTTTTGACACAAAACTTCGTCAAGCCAAGTGACTAGGTACCGAGGTTGCTCGAGATTTAAAGCGGAAGTAGAACCAATCAGCTAAGTCAAGCTAAATCTCTGTTGGGTGTCGGCCGAGGGATTTTAGTGTGTTAGAGTGGTTGAACAAGTGTTGGGTCTGTATGGAAACCTACATGCGTTTGGGTCCAGCCTAGGGTCTAGTTATACTGGTTCGGCTTATTTGATGGTTCCTCTTGAACTTTGTTTGAACCTTCTTTCAGTCTGTGTGGATGATCTAGTGCTAAGACAGTTGTGTAAGAGAGATGCAGTGATCCTTGGTTGGTTGGGGTTTGTGTCTTATTATATCTGACAAAAATGCCTCCGTGGAATTCCCTATAGAGAAAATTCTCTTCCAAAATTCTTCCTCTGGACGGTTATACTTTGCATCGAATAAAGCTTCCGTATACATGCCTTTCGTCTTTTGCAAGAAACGTGGGTTTAAACAGCCTAAAAGATGTACTATTTCTTTCCTTCATGAGTGTTTTTGAGTTACAAGTTTCACATATAATCACCGTCTCAGTAGCCGTGTGCGCTGGGTGACGAAAGTTCGGTTGTTTGCAGATATTTATGATAAGTTTACCATAATACACAGAATTCTTCTCTCCAGATCTAGCGATATCGCCAGATGTTCAGTGGCTACACGCACAGCTGACTGAGATATTCTAATTCATCAAGTAATCGATTTTATCATTTGCCCTATTGAGAAACAAAACCTTTGCACATCAATGACATACTGAGCGAATGTTGATTAAAGAGTTCTTCTGGGAGAGTATCACCTAGCAGTACAAGCATCTTAAAAGAATCCCATGAACACCAAGAGGTCATATGTTTTTATTACATTCCACACCCCAATTAAGTATTACAAATATGTGAGGTGTCAAATTGGTGTGACATCCACATAAGTACTAATTCAAGAGAGATAATAGGCTGCTGGGACAGGCTGCAGCGATCACAGTCATCGCACGATCAAGTAATGGATGTTAGACTAAGGAGACTTGTCATCTGAGGTCCAGTTTCTAAAAATTCTAAACCGGTCTCCTTGAAAAATTGGAATCCGCACTCAATTTTTTTGTACCACAGTGGTGGAACAACGATGGATTAAAGCTCTTTAAACCAAAAGGTGTACTCTATTCTTTGGATTCCTTACTTTCATTGACCCAGAAAGTCTAATAGATGAACGCTGTTTATCTCTTGCTTGTCCAGATATTTTGATTTCAGGCGCTATTTCCTTTACTTTTACTTCCGGGAACACACGTTTCCGCCTAAACAAACAAACTTTGTGGTGCAGGTTTTACACTTTCTCTGTGCTAAGATGTTAGAAAAGTTGCGAGTCAAGGAATTCCACCAAATGAAAGCCAAAGTATATTGGCAGAAACAAACTCTTCATAGTTTGAAATCTTATTAGGAAAGAACGTACAATTCACCGTTCGGAACAGTTCAAACCATGCCTTGTAGTTTGCTCACCTGAATCATCGATTGTTGATTGTGATGATGCGTTAGGTGATTGCACACCAACAGGAATAACTTGTGGTCGGATAACTTGGAAGAGAAATTGTGAAGTATTAGTAATCCAGCTATATTTTGCAGGATATTCCATTTAATCGTCTTAGAATGTCAAGGTTAAGGGTTGAGGTTAACCGGTCTGCGAAGGTGCGAAACCGCAAGCGAGTATAATGAACCCCAAAACACCGACAAAATGGAGAGCAGTTTTTAGGATTAGTGCTTTGTTTCCTATCATCTTGGGCACACGAGGCCTACCATTATCGCCTACCGTTAGGACTTAAGGATGCATCACTTGCAGCGCTTTTATAGATATCACAGGCCGATAGAGTGATTTACTGCTTTGTCCGGTGTTCCACCGACAGCTTGTTGTATTCGGAATAATGGTATGTCTGTTATAATAAGGTGTTGACTTTCGCTGTGATACTTGATCCAACCGGCTGTAGTGTAACTCAGAATCAATATTAATAAGTGTGAGTAGTCACCAAATTTTTTGACCGCAGTGTGATTTCATTAGGTGGTTAGTGTAAAAATGGGGTTGAGCACTTCACGCAGCAAACGGTTCCATCAAGGTTTGGAGGGATCATCAGCTAATCTAAATAGCCTGTGGACTATTCGCTTACAGCTGGAGGCCTAAAGGTGGTAATCAAACAGTCAAGTTTATTTCTCGATAGTTCACAGTTTATTCACAGTGCACCGTATTCTTTGTTTCTGTCCTCTTTAATATTCATGGCATCATTTTGCACTTGACTGCTTTAGTTGGTCAATTTAATCTAATGGGCAGTACCACTGTGCTACGCTTCAATCACCCAACTTAAATTGATCCTGTGAAGTCTTCAGTCTAGCTGCTGACTTCACACTTAGTGGTTTTTTGTATCATTAAGAATACCATATCTACTTCCGCCTGATTCCTCGCTTGATTCCTTCACTATCTGGCAAAACTTATTTGAGTGTGCATACGGACCATTTACTTACCTGCACTGGTAACAACTCTGCCAGTGGTGGGATTGAAATGCGTTTCGTTTGGAATGTCTTTGGATACCTAAACAAAGTAGAAAATGTTTGTCTGATCGATGAATATATTATGAGCAATTTTCTCCAAAAAGTGGTGTTCTACTGGTGAAGTTTACCTTCACTGTACGTAGCTTTCTGTACCAATTTATCTCTATGTTATCCGGAGAATCACATAAAATATCTACCACATGTGGTGTTAATATAACCGTAAAATTTTTGATGAGAAACGGTGCCGAGCGGTTTCAGTTTTTTCAAGCCTATAAATGAAACATCGAACTGCTGACGTTTGCTTTAACTCGCGGACCCGCTCAACCAAAGCTCCGGCTCATTGATTTTAAAACAATCCAAAATTGACACTCGGTGATGACGTTTTTAACTAATAACTAACAAATTAAACTCATCCTGATTAGCGATTTCTAATGTTTTCGGACTATTTGTGGGTGTTTGGAGGCTAAGAGTAATAGAGCAAACGGGTGTGCCCTCCACACTACAAATAAACAATTGCTCTGATGAGTAATCCAACTTTTATTGCTGTTTAACCTTTCACAGTACCGGTAGTAGGCTGTACAGGTAACATAAGATAGCCCTGTTACTTCCACACTAAGAGATAAATACAGCATTTTCCTTGTGTCCACAACTTTCAGTACAAACGTCACGCCGTCCACATGATCTAGTTCACATGACAAAAACTAAACAGCAATACAAAATGGAGCGACAAATGTCAACACTTACTCCGATTATCGGTTTTGAATTGCGTACAAAAACGGGATGGCGGGTTGCATGCATATAGGCTTTGGCTTTTAACGCTGAAATGGAGGGAATCGCAGAAGGATAAACAGAAAATACATTACGGCTGAATCGCAGTTTGTACTCCCCTTAAAAAGTGAGTTGCTCTGGCTGCTTTCTAGTTAAAGTAAATATCAACATTTCCTCCACGGCATGCATCCAAGACCCACTTGCCTGAGTGGACAAAGTAAATGCAAAGCTGCACCCGGACTATCATTGACTCGTTTCACAATCATACACCGCATCATTTCAGAAAAACGCAAGGTGGATTGTGTGGGTTTGATGTCGGCAGAAAGCGACCATATTTGATACACATTTTTCAAAATTTCTCCTGGACTGATAGCCAAGGATAGCGTCAGCTGTCCCTTCACCAACGTCATTTTGAATTTATTAAAAAACAATAGGATCCTTGGAAGTTAAAACAGTGATATGCAAGGCATGTGGGTGATGCATCGTAGATGCTATTGACGAATGCATTCCCCGAACGAAAAATCTCCTTCACCATGTAATATGGACTCATTCCTATTTTGCTAGCAACGGCTGTTGTAAACCAGTCAAGAGCTACGGTTTTCTAACAGAAACTTAGCAAACGTTGTGCAAACTACTTGCAAAGTTAAAACTGATGAAGACTGCTGCCGGAAAATAAGTTGTAGTAATGTGACTAAAACTAGATCGCAAATGGGGCAATGGAAACAACTATGCTTGTTAAGGACTTCTGTATCCAATATTTACTGTAAATTTATAGGCCCATGTTTCATTCTATCCAGGTCTTCATGGTTTCATCAGACACAACTGTATGCCAAGTAGATTTTCTATCCTCTCATCATTGAACACCCAGTCCATTTGCTTACCAGAGAATATATTAGGTAAAACATTATCAACGCGCATTTCTACGCCCTCTAAACACGCCGCTTTTTAGACCAGCATCAGTTTTTTTTGTATACATAATCATATCACACCACCAATACCTGCAGTGTTTATACGGAATAGATGATTCAACCAAAAAAACTTTTTCAAACCTCTAATTCGGGATAATTAGGGAAACAAGATACTGTTAAATTGCAAACTTTATACTAACCATTTTTTATTATCTGGCTGGAAATGGACAAGATTGGCATAGGAAGTTTTTGCCTTTGACTTACTGTTAGTTGTCTATATTTATGTCTAAAAACTTCTTTCTCTCTGTGACTACTACCTATACTTTCAGGCCCCATTGTCCCTGGCAAAAAATACCTCCTAAAAGAGATTTATTCTATTTAAATATTTTAAGGGCTCTTTCAATTGCACTTTCTTCAGGATACCGAAACTATCAGCAGCATACACTTTTTGACCCTACACGGAAACGCTTTTCACTCATTTCAGCTGATATCCTATTCTGAAGAATAGTTTACTTCTGGGTTGATCTACCGGGCAGTCATTATTTGGGGCCATTCACGTTGACTGAATAATGTAGACATCCTTTGATAAAAGAATATCTTTATCATTGGACTGTAGCTGGTCTGTCGCTGTCTTTTCCTGAAACGTACAATATCCACTGATTACAGACAGCATCGCGGTCCCCAGAAGACAAAGTGCTTCAAATTCCTGAACAATGCTGGCAGTTGACTACGAACACCACGGCGGCCAAAACTAATATTCGGGATTCAGCACTCCAACTTGTAAAAGGCTTCTGAGAAACCAAGAAGCAGCAGCTAAATTCTGAGGAGCCACTTACAATTAACGAATTTTTCAAGGCGTAAACATTTCGAAATCTTTCACTCTTTCCACTCTGTAGTAATTGAAGTCTTTTAAGCAAAACAGGAGTTTTATTCTAGCCCGAACCCTCATAGCTTTGGATGTCAGTGATTGTGAACTTATGGGCAAATATGTTTCTCGGCTGCCAACCTCCCACCTTTTTGTTGCGAATTTGCAGCACCAGTTCGTCACTGAACATGTACGTCTCTTTTATCGCGCCAAAAGCGAAGTAGTTAAGCAACATATGTGAAGGTCGGGTTCATATGTAAACGTAACGTTTAGATGGATCCTGTCAACCCTGGTGCATATGTTTTGGCTCCAGAGTCTACCGTTTGTTGCTTATTCATGTGGCGATAGCAAGCAAGGAATTTAAGGGTCAAGAAGGGACGAAATCTATACTTGTTGCATATTAGACCCTACGCGACAAAGGAAACACCATATGACAAATACAATGATTATATCTGTCTTCTTGGTTTCCAGTTTTCAATAGTGCATAGTAGAACTATCTTGTGTCTCTGCTGATGTAAATGATAATGCGGTACTGATAGAGAAGTTTATATTTATGGCACAAGTTCCTTTCAACTAGTTCCTTCCGTGATGTGATGCCTCTAGCGAAAAAAGACAAACGTGTTTTCGTACTCTGGATTTGCTTCGTTTTTGTGCCTCGAGTTTCATGCCCCTAGTTTTTTTAAAGTGCTCCCACACTGAGTGGACAATAGTGAGATAACGGTGCGTTTATTACGCGGACCCAGGTAAGTTAGTTTATTAGTGGTTGTAATTAGCTGCAAAGATTATTTTCTCAGGATGGGGGTTTTGAAATAAAGGATTTGTTGAAAACAAACTAGTAGACGGGAACTGGTGTCCACTGAGCGGCCGCAGACCACTTCTTTAGTCGGCATTAGAAAATGAGGCTGTTGTCTGGTATGACGAAGCTTGGGTTCTTATGTGGCTATGCAAAAAAGTAGTATAGATGACCTTAAAAGTGCACCACCACCACCACAGGGCCCTTTTGCATAATCATAGAGGGCTGGTATATTAAGATAAATTGTTATTGAGATATCGGATGAACATATGAAAACTATAAATTCCATTACTTCTGGAAGGCATTATTCTGCTACAAGCGTAGGAATCGGTGGTCGTTCGATCACAACCACCAATCAAACAATATATTTCTGAGTTCCAGATGGCACCAGAGAACATTTTGGATGGGGCAAGATACTAGTTATCGCCGGGTAAAATAGGCTAAAATAAGCTTGCAAGTCTAATTAGTCTGTGCTTTCGCGGGATACGTATACCGGAAAGTGGTAGGTGTTGATCAGTGATTTGATGTGTTAAGGGTATCTACGTCAGTGCTATAAGGTCAGTGGGATTATAATTGTGACGACGGTCTAGTTTCGATAGGTTGATTAGTGATCCCTGGACGTTGATGCGTGCAGACAACAGCTCGGAGAACTTTAATAACGCACTGTCACAAAGTTGTGTGTGAATGCATGATATCGGCTGTGACAAACTGAGGTATAATACATCTTGTATGAAAGGGTGTATTCACCGTGTCACAACTTTCTAAGTCCATCTGAGCCGGTACAGATACGCATTCTAAGATGGACTGTGTTTTGCGTGTTTGAAATGCTGAAGTCTACAAGAACGGTTGATAATCTTACATTTCTAATAACGAGAAAGACGGTTGCGGAAGTTGCTGTATCCAAAGAATCTATGAAACTGCCCACCTGGATAAACTTGCGCTTGGTTCGACCACATGTGACAGATCCGAGCGTCGCAAGATTCTGGTTAAATAATTTGTTCCGCGGGACAATTCAGCTAACGACAACTCCGTCCCTATTCTCCTGTCCCTTTGTTGTTTACTTGGTAGGTGGGTACATAGATTTCTCTCAATTCCTTCAAGCAGACGTGACGTTGTCGCTGGATATTTTGGAGACTCGTTGTTCGTTTTCGATCTGCCGTTCTCGACCATTCCGAGATTATTGTTAATTTGAAGAGTTTGAAAGTTTCTTGAACAGCCGGAGTACAGGACACTATTGTGATGCTTCGTATGTTCTGTTTGGTGTTGAGGTTAATTCAATTAGGCAATAGTGTAAACAGCTTTGAGTTCCGGCCTGAGATTATCGACTTTCGCCCTTATCACTTGCGTCCAAGTCAACAAGTCAGTGAAATCATTTGGAGGAAACTATTACTGCTCTAGCGAATGAATAAATGCATCTAATAGAGCTGAAGATGGTACTAACTTGAATTGTGATGCGGATAGCATAGAATCTGGACGACGTTAATTTAAATAACCACCGAATGTCTTTCTTGTCTGGTTTTTTCCTGTCATCTTGGGGCTGACAAATTCAGCCGTTTTTTTCCTTGGTAGCATTGACGAGAATAACAGTATGTATTCGTCAGCATGGTAATTTATCCCAAATGGTGTATGCGTTGGGGCTGTCAGTCTCAAGATAGATGTTCTATCCACAAAATCGTAAAACTATGCCAGCCGAATTCTGCAATAGCAATCGAGCTTCCTGACCACACTCGGACATTACACTGCACTACAACAGATAATAGATCAGTTTTCCAAAAAGACATTTCAGTAAGTTTGATCCAACATTTTGAAATCCGACCGGCAGTGATTAATTCCATTTTCGACCTAACGAAAGACGTTACTGAGTGAAATCTTCAAGCCACCTTTGACACCACTACTGAATTTATCCGCCGTAAAAATCATCAGTATTTGACTACAAAGTGAAAGAGTATACCTGATGATTTATTTGTCAACTGCGCAACTGGTATATCTAAATTTTAAATCAAGGTGGTTTCCAGTCTACCCATTGAAAGCCGCTCAGTTATTTATGGGGATCAGCATCTAAAATTAAAGTACCGGAATGTGAAATTATCCAGCAAATGCTTACCATCGTTGTGATATCTCTGCATAAAATGCTTTTCACAATGAGGAGTTCCGTTGATCCACCATCGATCTGATATGCTATAAATCATGGCATCAAGCAATAAATCAGTAAAAAAATTAGGACAGGATCAGCAAAAGGGAACAATTGTAGATAATACCATTACGTATTTAAACCAGACGAGTCGTTGCATATATCCACAAAATCTGTGGTAGATTGCAATTTTTTTTGTTTACTGACTTCACTCAGAAATAGCCGAAAAGCATGGAGTCCCTCTGGAATCTCGCGCTGTCCTGACAACAAATTATGCACATGATACCTATAGATTGTGTCTCAGTAACTCGGTGATTGTTCAAAACTCTCAACATCGCTTGTTAGAAGTCGTAATTTCTACTATACAGCGAAAGTTCCAAAACAACTAGCCCACAAGGTGCTAATTTGTGGCATGAGTTCTGCTTTTTCCATCCGGACTCCACCTGTACATGGGTAGCATCCGGACAAAAAATCCTGAAAGCACCGTTATCCACATTCTTCTGAGTTGCCCAAACATTTGGACATCACACAAATGTTCCAACGAATGTTTTAATCTGATTGACCTGTTTATCTTGCTGAAAAAAACCTTCGGACTGGATCGTGACGTAATCTATAAAAGGGATCTGTCGAGAGGTCACAGTTTGTGCATGTGACCGTGGCGTAAACCAGGATGAAGCTAACAGTGAATGTTATGCATGGATATTTAGAGTGAGACTTCCGGTAAGCAGGTACCATTATGACCAACTTGAAAAGCTTGTGTCCACATGTCAAGGGATGCCGCAATCCTAGCTGACCGACAATAATCAGTTGTTTTCAGTTGTGGGATTTGCGGGATGTGCATTTTGTTCATATTCCCACCACTCTTGGTTCAAACGTCGTCCTCCTGTTTTGGCGTAATAACAGTTACTGGGTCGTCTTTAGATGGGTCGGGCAAACCAATCACAATCGCTCAAGCGTGAACACGTTCGACTGTTCAGATGTGAAAATTCAGATGCGTCCAACGTGCTTTGGTGGAGTAGTGTTAACACGCTCACCCCGCGTGTCAGACGTCCGGCAAAGAGATTGGGTATACAAAGCTGGTGAATTCTGATAAGAGCGAAACTCGACTCCATTGCCTCCCTTTGGTGTGGACTCACCAGAATAATTACGCCAGAACAGGAGAACGACCGTTCAAACGAGGGTGGTGTGAATATGAACAATTATCCGTTGACAACAAATTTAATATAAAGCAACAAGCTTTTAGGGAACTGTTATTTTTACCTTGTTCCGAACTAAGCAGTGAAGACGTGCTGAATCACTGCAGAGTCGTGTGTCAAACTAGAAGTATCAAACTAGAAGTAATGTTCGCAGGACAAGGTGGATTCTACGCACCAAAAAAAATCGTTTAGAGAAGCTTCTGGGTCTTTTTCTCTTAAATGTTCCATTAGAACCGCAATTCTTAACAGACTGACACAGCAGGCCCTGGATGACTCTTGTGGGATCTTCAGACCAGTGGCCTTGTTCCAGAGGGACTTTCACTGTGGTGCATCATATTGTCATTTGACACCACATTTTCTCTGAATCAAATGTACATACTCGACTCTAGAAATGAAACCCCATGTAGACTCGATTAAAGTGAATGGATGGTCCAAAGTATTTCAGAACGTTTTCTTAATTCAGTATATCTTTGGCCAGGTTTTACCCACCACCCCATGCTGCTTGTTGCGTGCATCAAGCTCTTTTCCAGTGGAAAAGCGACTCAGCACAAATTACGCCAGTTTTATAGAATCATGTAACTCACCTGACCAGTTGATTACATACAGCACAACGGACACAGTTACGGTGATAAAAACTGCCAGCACGCTCGACCAGTTCGTGAGGTAAACAAGCTTTCCGACATCGTTTGCAATTGTAGGTTCCGTTCATCGGTTGAACTACCTGAGAAATGAAACCAGAAACAATAAAACTGGAGAATTAGCGTTCCATTGCGCATCCGTGAGCGTAGTTTTCCAGGTGTCACACATATCGAGTAATAAATTGCAGCATACTGATTTTCGTCGTGCTGGAGCAAACAGAGGCAATTAACTTCAGACTTAAGAAAATTAACAGAGTAACAACGAGGTTTGTAGGCACTGTCAGTGTGACCGAACTCTCTGTATAGATGAAGTTGGAGCCCGGTGACGGTCAATCGAAAGCGGCTTCTTTAATGGTGACAGTATACATGTGCGCATGTATTCGAATGTTAGGCCTGTGAAATGAGCAAGTCGAAAAAACATAAAATCCATCCAAGAAATTAACGAATAAGCACTTTGCTAAGTATTCCGTAGCGATGCGAATTTACTCTTCTGAATATCGTCTGAATCATGGTTTGTCCCCTACAAGTATAAAACGCCTGACGTGATCGTCACATGAACAAGGATGAACAGGTGATGACACAATCTTGACTGCATTCGTCTCGATTACTGAAAAAGGACTTTAGTTAGAGTAGAACTGATGTTTTTTGTTCAGCCGGTCTCCTTGTTCAAACTGTTGCGTTTGTTTGTGTAACCTACTCAAAGAGAATGCATTGACCCTGAAAACGGACATTTCGTCGCGGAAGCTACACAAAATACGAACACGTGCTGACGCTTACAGATCCATTAATTGGACTTTCACGTAGCCTAGATTTTGGAAAGATGGGTGTCAAACTTAATGGAATGTTGAGGATACGTACTTCGCGTCTTAAAGTGACGAATCCGAAAGCGCACAAAGGAAATGGCAATAACGACAAATACGCACCTCACTGAGAAAAGGCTGGTTTACCGGAACAAACTTCAGGAATGGATAGTTTTGAAGCGAGTCGATTGAAAGTGTTCCATTGGGTTGAAACGCTGGAGAGGTGAAGCGAAATCCATAGAACCAAATGTACTCGGAAACGCAGTGAACTAGAATGCTCGTGTGGTATCAAGGAAAATAACAATATTTTTACCTCGTACAAGCAGAAACACTACGTGCAAAGTCACCAAAAGATTCCCGATCATGTCAAAAAATCGGTAACTGAGTTGATTTGCGAATCTTTGCCAGTGTGTCGGATGCAGTGCTTCATTTTTAAATTCTTCCTCAAATGTCGAAAGGACATTGTCAGTGTGCTGATGATGTCTTTCAAAATGGTGTCGAAACCAAGAGTAAGGCTCAATTGAGAGACCGATTACCGATGAAAGTTGTTCATTTATGCAGTGGCACTTTGAATGTAACCTAAATTGGACAACTGCTCCAAGCTTATGCTGCCTTATGGAACCAGGATAAGCACTGGATAACAATAATGCATGCTGCAGACTTAGCTAATTGAAACGAAGAGAATATGCTCTGCTGTATAGCTGCAAACCGAAGTAGGTAGGCTTTTGTTGTCATTGTAATTTCCCTTTGGATGAGAAATTCCTGCAAGCCTGCATATGCAACTCAAGGATGGTCGCTCTCCATTTACCTCAGACATTTTAACGTGGTCATGAAATCTCGATGTTGATATAAGTTGGACTTGTTACAAGTGCATGGCCTGGTTATGAAGGCTTAATTAGAGACCTCTTTAGGAACCTCGAAAACAGAACGAATAATTGAGTGCTTTCCGCCTCCAGGTCAGCTCTACTTATCAGAATCTCTCTTGTTTTAGGTTGATTAAACTACTCAAAGTTTTCTTTCTGCTGCTTTGAACCAGATAACGGTAGTGGCTGTCCGGAAGACAAATATATGTGACCCACGGTAGAACCAGGCTTACTCACAAGGTAGAACACACAGAAACCTCGATATTCCACAAAGGTCATGAACTTTTCTTGCTCTAGGCTCCCACAGATTTTTCCAAAACATTTTTATCTGTGATGTTTTTTAGATATTTTACTTAAGTTCAGCTGCATGAGTGACGCCAGATAAGTACATTTGTCATCATCAGCGTAAAAGTGAGAAATCGCTAGCTTAGTCGCAGCGCTTAAATAAGTATCTCAACGTTAACGATACACTAGAATCAAAAATGGGGCATTTTCTATAATTTCGGAAATCTAGCTTGTTGCTTCATCCTTTGGGTTTAGTGAATTCAAATAGTTCCATCATACGTCAGTACCAGTGACCAAAGAACTATATGATTGCCAGTGTGCGGAATGTAAAGGGGTGCACAGCAAAATAGTTGATGAAATGTGCCCTCACCTTCAGGATTTTTGGGACAGTTATCTTCGCAGTAAAGTTCGCCGGATTTCAACCGAAAGGTATGTATGCTAGAAGATAAACATCCGGATCAGCAAAAAAGTCACACAACTTTTGGCACACGTAACTCAGTTCCAATGAGAAAACGCGGCTACCATTTAACTAGATACACAGAAAAAAGTGAAATAACAAGGAAAATCTGGATCCCACGTAAGAGATCACATGCTGGATGCCTTTGTTATGTGGTTCTGATTGGTTTAAAACTGCATATTGCCCAAACAGCACTGCTGATTGGGCGTTCGCTTTTCTGTGTCACAAAACAATCAGAAAAGAACTGGAAAAAAGCAAACAAACATGGGTGCGCTTAGCGTTTGTGGGTTTCTCTAGGAATGGATCATTATTTGTTGCGTAATACTGCCGTGGAGAATGAATATAGAAAACATCAAGTGTGTGTAAAATTTTGAGTCACGGAAACATATCTGGAATGCGTGATTTGGACTGCTTTGTCAATACAAATTGAGATTGTAAAACCCAAGGCAAAGAGAATTTATTTTTTGCAACATCCGCCTTATAAAACCCCTGAGTATAAGACACGCATTTTCCAGAAATGAAACCGTTGCCAGACCCATAATACTTCGTTTAGACTCCAACCTGGATTCCGCATTGTTAAAAGCATCCTGTTCGTGCGGTGAGTGTTAAATACACTAATACAAATTTGTTGTTGGCAAACAACCTGAAAATTGTACTACCCAGCACTGAAGATGTAAAATTTTCAATTCCTAACATTTCCGAACTTTCCCTATACCTTAACGCTGTTACTGTATGTATCACAACATAAGCTGTACCACATAAAAGAGTCCAGCACCACAACAATAATTCAACGGTCATCTTCAGTTCTTCGAGTATTTTCACGGGACAACTCGAGTGGAATCTCATATGTCAGCTCATTAAACTTCAGCTGGAAATCCAGGAAATTCTATTATTTCTCCCTCAGATAAAGTCTCTTAAGTCATTTGTATAGTGATTATGGTCTACGGTTTGAAACCCTCTATGTACTCGCTAAGTATATCGAATGTTGGAAACGCATATCTTGTTTAAGGCTCACTGTTTGTGAGCACAGACGTATACAAAGCACATATTCTGATATACAACAGCATCTTAGTGTGCAGTGAGCAAGAGACTTGTAGAGTTGAGGATCTGAGTCAATATAATATATCTCCGGGGCCAAAAATAAATGCCAACTTCGTCAGAGGCACATCCCAGAGGAGAATTTGCATGTTTGATGCTGCAGTAAAATGCCAACCCAACCGTGACAACGAACGAAATTAGAAGCATTGTTGAATCACATAAAGAGCTCTGAAAGAAGATGCAAGCAAGGCAATTAGATATTAACTTACTGTGGAAGGAAAGAAGCGCATTCAGCGCTAACCACCGCACATACATATGAATGCAAAATTTGAGAGATATAACTGCTAGAGAGGTCTTGGGGCTATTTTATGGCAGCAGGTGAATCCCAGAGGTGACGGAATTGCTGATTTAAGTTGCAAAGAATAAGGGATAAAAGTGATTCACAAACTCCATTAAAAGCCGTCAGTCTATAGTTTAAAACCGTACCGGTTTCACTCAACGAATCAAGATCAGATAGCCAAAAATGCCCGAATCTCAAATGATGATCAGCAAAGATTCCAGCCCGAAGATTATGAAACTACCCTGGATACCATCGAAATGGGGATTGCATAGATAGTCTATTTGTTTACATTAGGATAAAATTTACTCCTAAGTGTAAAAAAAGGTGGAGTATTTTCCACGAACTTGTAAATGCTTGTGCTAAATTAGAAAGCATCAGTTAGAGAATTTCTTAATTCAGAGTAGACAGAATAGGCCAGTCAACCTTAGCTATCAGAATCCCCCTCGTTCTGATTGATGGAGGCGAAATGTAAAGAAAAGTAATGGAACGATTTAGCACATCCGAACCTTTAAATGTTCTGAGAAGTCTGACCTGAAGTGTAATCTTGAAGCTGGATGGATGTAAGTAAGAATCCAAAAGGTTTGGGGATGACAATTTTTCAAGGTTGCCTTTCTTCTGGTCAGTGATAGTTATCTACAGCCTACTTGCAGTTGTAATGATTAAGTGATGCATAAAATTTATTGTAAGCTGTACAAAAATTAGACATATCTGAAGCTGCATAATTTCGGTGGGAATGTTTTTCGAAGTAGGAAACATGGAAATTTGGTCGGGACGTAATCAGCCTGAATTCAAGCAAGCTGTGTTCAGGCATTTAAAGTGCACTAATTTCATGGTTGTCCTTCAAAAACCAACAATTGTTCCTCTACTTGACCGAAGCACATTAAAAACATCAAAGTGTGGGAACAAAGCACTGAGAAAATGCTAATAGGGAAGTCGTAAAATGGGAGTCCAAAGAACTTGGGAGTACAACAATTAAACACTTTGCATTTTGATTTTACTTTTTCGACATAATGTGCACTAAATCAGCTCGGATACTCGAAGAGAAGATATATAAGTTGGCGGTGCAGTGGATATCGAAATATCTCTGAAAGACGTTGCGGGCTACCAGGCAGCGACAACTTCCCGGCACTGGCCATTAAGCAACTGTTTCATGCCATATATTATTAAAAAACAAGCAGCCAAGATCTTTATACGTGAACCTTTATGGTTGAGTGATAGAGCCCTAGTATAACCACCTGTTAATTATTGACCATACAAAACCAACTTACTCGAGAAATGTACCGCAACGTTTGCATTTGAAGCATTCTCGATGGATCACACCACTAGGCATCTCAAGGCATTTGTTGAGCGGAACGTGTATCCCACAGACACTGCAGAGCCTTCGGTTCTCTTGTTCCAGTTGAGGCTCCTATAATACATTTTTGCTTTTTAGTTACTTTTTGTTTTCACAAGTTTAGAGGGGCAACAATAGGTCAGAAGTAGTCGAGCATAAAACATAATGGTAAAAGCATTTGCAAATCGAGAAAACCACCCTGCTGAATTTTCATCCCTTAGCGTGGTCAATATGGAATAGCTGTGATAATGTGAGACTAAGGGGTGGTCGCAATGTTGACCAGTCTTACGCGTTTGACTGTTGTAGTACAGAGCTACTAACTGGACTTTCTGGTATCTGAGCCTCCCCAAAACCCTAGTTTCCCTCCTTTTCGAACAAAGCATTTGCCTCACTTTGACCACTCAAACAGCTTGTTAGACGTTAAACACATCTTGGCGGAAAACATGCGATTCCTAGTCCATTCGTCGACTCAAGACTCCAGTCACTTTGCTCTTGGCAAAAGGTGTCACGCAAAGCCCAACCTGGCAACGTGTCGAAACATTAGCAGCCCCAGTGTTTTCATTGGTCTGTCCCCCTAGTTCGGCAATCAACCTGCATAAGGTTTGTCGCCATAGGAGGAGAAACTGTCGCCAAAACTTATGATTTATTCTTATTCGGTGGCAAAACGTGTTTACTTCAAATGCATAGCTCGGCGAAAAGATTAAAAGCCATCTGTGTAACAACCAATAAATCCTATCCAGTTGAATGCACTTATTCTCAAAGTTTCTCTTCTTCAAACAAGACAACTGATTTTTGAGTTTCTTGTGATTCCGGCAACCTCTTTCTCAACTGCAAACTTTTTCTAAGGAACACGTTGGATATATAGACAGTTTGGGTTACGAGGTGTTTTTTACAAGAAAATCATCTAATGGCCGCCTTAAAAGCAGTGAATTTTGAATCAAAAGTTTCATAGTGAGAATACTCGTTGTGTTATGAACCCCACGGACTGACAAACAAGCAGAATAAACAAGATCGACAATTTCGTCCACGTGCCCGGTCTCCCAATTTAGCCCCAAACAGAGCAACCAAAGGGGCTACACCTACACTCAGCTGACCGTACCACTCGGTTTCACAAAGGTGTCCCATAACAAGCGTTCTCCACCCAGCTGCTTACCACCTGCGATCAAGAGCGAAATTTTGACTCGGCCAAAAATAAAGCTACTGATAGCTCAAGTAGACACATCTTTTGGGTAGCTGTTGGATAAGGTTTTTAAGCAAAATCACGGAACAATGAGCTAGAGACCTGATCACCACAGCTTATAGAAAGAAATTCCTTCTTACGAAACCATAGGTTTATCAACTAGTGGTTTGTTCTACTTGCCTGTAAACACAGTCCTCTTTTCTTGTACACTGTATGCTCAGGAAAAAGCAACACTTTCTCAGTTTTGTCTTACCAGTGTTCTTCCATGAGCCTAACCTCCAACCAAGAAGCATTTTTGATGTAATGACCGACGTAACTGCTCTCTAGCATTGTTTGTTATAAAATGGCATTAGGGTGTAATAAATCGTTATAGTTCGATAAATTACAGTGAGTGGCGCATAGAAAAAGATGAATTAACGAAATATACAAATCAACTGCAGAAAAACGTCGGCAGCAAATCAAGCTGCAAATGATCTGAATCACCTACTTTATCTTCACATAGTTTACTGCATTGTAAATTCCCCTTGATATTGTCCGTCTTCTTTGGAGATTCGACTTTTTTATCAATGTCTAAAGTGAACAGAATAATAATATTCGACGAGGGGAGACGTGAAATTGTGATGAACGTGACAAAAACTTGAGATGAAAGGATTCACGTATTGTTCTAGAAGCACACTTTTGTAGCGTTAGTAAAATAGCAGGACAAATCTTGAAGCTTCAACCAAAATATGCTAGCTACAATTCAGACAAATAACATATAAAGGCGAAGTCTTTTGCAATACTTTGTAAACTCATTGCTTTGGGACTCCCGTTTAACTCCGTAACGCTCAACTCAAATCGTAAACAGCATGACCACTTGTTCTTATTGTTGAACTTATACTCAGAGTCGCAGTCTTTTTTCTTCTATCTCAATTAATGTCCGTTTGCTAAAACGATTGCATTCCCCATATATTCTGGTTTCTATTGTGAAAGGTTCCCTCATGGAGCATGTGAAGTCAGACAATGTCGCGAAGTTGTTTGAAAGAGAGAGATACAGTTAACGGGAGTACAGTACAACGCTGATCGCAACTCCTCCACGAGCGCTTGGCTTGCCACGCCTATTCTAAGCACCCATCCTGATTTGTGTCTTCCAAACAACTATAAATGCCTCCTCCATTGGTTATTTTACAGGGCTCCCACTGAAATGTGTGCACTTGTGGTTGGGCGCCTTTCATTAAAATATAACTAAAGGTATTTGCTTAATATCTCAGAAGACTAACTAACTGTTTTGGATACTTGCAACTTAGCAGCTTGTTCTATGAAAACCTGGAATGGTGGTAAGCTTAGTTGGTAGTCTTTGAATACGTGAAGCGGTGCATGTGTTTCCAAACATACTACTCAGATACTGGCACTGATACCGAACAATGGCGTTTATGATTTGATGAAAATTGCTTTATTACGTATTTGCAAAAACAACAACCATGCTCAGTACCTAGCCAAATCTTTGCTAACATCCTGAACCATTCTCGTCGGAAGTGAATTGGAACTTACGACCATTCGGTACCGTTAGTCGCTGTGGTTCCACATCGGCATTCAGATGACTGAAACGAGATGATAGAATAAGTATCACCAAACAACCAGGGAGTGGTCCCGTGTTAGTAGTTGTTCTTCAATAGTTCGCGAAATTTGAGTACACCAATTGTAAAACGAGTAGCCAGGAACCAACTAATTGCATTGTAATTTGACTTAGTTGCACTAAAGCATAAGGAGAGTCGTTCAGTAGAAACAAATGTGTGGGATGATAGTATTAAGCATCAGCGGTGTCAGTTGTTACCCCTTTTTACAATTTGCTCAAAGCACTCCAAAACCATGCTTTTCTGGTTCATGTGAAATGTCTTCCCGCATGTTCCACTTCCAAATGCTTGCAAAAGCCGCACCATACGGTGAAATCACAAAGATAAATTGCTTTATTAGAGACTCCTAATGAGCGATAAAACGATGGTAAAGCGCTCTAATAAGAACACTATTCTGTGAAGATTATGATATATCTAGAAATTTTCACTGAGTAATCATACTACAATCGCATTAAATAGAACATTTGGGGCAGACGTTTTCAAAAGAAGAACACTTACCGTCAGTGGGTATGGAACAACGGAAGCTGCGCAAACGTTGTTCAGGTATCCCACCAAGGAATTTGGTTGCTTTTCAACTCATCCAGATGCTGTTAAGAAGCCCTATGATCAAAACATTTAGCCTGTCGACATTTTCATCATGTACTAGATACCTCGGTAAACTTTGGAACTAAAGATTCCTAGCAGTGAATCCTACTTCATTAAGGCGCAAAGTAGGACAACTAACTCACAAAGTTCTCACGCCATCTTTGTATCTACCATGGCAAACACAGTTGGTTTACGTCTGGAAAAGAAGCCTTACTAGAAAGGAATGCTCATAACCTATCATCACCTCAGCAGGCCGGTAGACGTTCCGCCACTTTCTATGCCTGTTTTTACTGCTCTGACAGCGAATGCTGGGCAATTTGAGGCCCAGTACACACCATTTTGATCATTCGGTCGCCCTATAGACCAATCCCAGCTTCAAAAAGCATTTTGTAACTTTGGGCAACATCAAGTTTAGGGAGAGATGCTGGATAGAAATAACAATTATTTGAGAGATTTTTTACTTTCAAAGATAACATAAAGAATTCAACCGACCAGCTGCACTGTTGCTTCGCATTTCATCTCCCCTCTTCCGCCACTTTTTCCAGAAAAAGAGAAATCCCAATGACTGCTTAATTTCATATTCTTCGCGGCAATGACATACAAATCACTGTAATACCTCGTTTTGGTGAGTCGGTATTTCTGTGAGAATCTATTCACCGCTGGTGTGACACAGCAGTCATGCAAGCAAATTTGACTCTGCTCTGGGGACGGTAATACCTGTGCTAAAACCCGATCGTGAAACATTTGGCACTTCCAAAATACAGGACCACATAAAAATTTATGCACCTATAGAACCGGGGCGAGACGGTCCAAGTGGTTAGAGCGCGAATTTACTGATCAAGGGGTCCGTGGTTCGAATCCGACCTCCGCCACTCGACTCCCCCTGTCTAGGCTTGGGCAACCTGGCAACATCCCAGCCCTCGTGCTTCCTTCGGGTGACATGGCAGCTAGGCACCGGAAGGGTGCTACAGCTGAACGCTTATTTATTTTATCATTATTAACTGTAGAATGCTAAACCAGACAGTGAAAAATAATCAAGTGATGAGACGCTTGGAAAGAATCGTCAACATTGAGGCACGCCAAACCAGGGCCAAGCTTCTTTGTTGAGTTTCAGCAAAATGAGCCTTTAAACAATAGGCTCACCTTAAATCGAAGCCGCAATTCTGACAGCGAAAGCAGGAATCGTGAAACGTTTGTTCCGGAATATGAACCACGTCGTTTCCAAGGATCGTACGACTGCATGCTCCACAAATTGGGTTTCGATTCATTTTTCTCTGAACAAAATGTTGAGAAAATTCCTACTGGTAGATAGAACGATCAAAAGAACCGATGCAAATCTTTTTTAGTATAAAGCTGAAGATGACCTTGGCCCAAGAAGCCTAAAGAGGTTGAGTTCATTACATTATAGCAAACGCTGTTTGTCTTACTAGGAAAAGCTGGAACAAAATATGAGCAGTTTATTGCGTCATTTGAAAAAAGTGTATTTGATGCGGAAAGTCATTACTTACATTTGTTGATAGTTCTTTGAGACCCAACAAATCCCCTTCAGCCTCGGGTCACCAGTAGAAATGCGTTTTAATTCTGTTGTATCCAATTCATGTAGAAACGAGCGTTTGGGGCTCACACTTTTGGTGTACAACTCAGTAGTAAACACCACAAAACAAGGATCTAACACCAGTAGCCACTTTTGGTTTTCAACAAACCGATTATCTAGCATTCCTAGTTCCCTTACAAGAGCTCCCGGACACTTCCACTAAGACATTTTACCTAATTTAATGATTTCATAGGCAATTGCTGACCAATTAACCCATCCATTCCTTCAGCGTTTCTGATGCTTCAGTGGTTGCAGCGCTGCTCTAGAGGCTGCGCCGAAATATTATGCGACATTTATGCTGCCATGCACATTGTTCCATCTTCGGCTTTTACCTGGTTTTACATGACTTTCACATGGCGGCTAAATGAATACCTTGCCAAGAGAACTCACTATTCGCACTTGCAGGAAAAATACCAGTAAAGCCAACTTTTCTTGGCCTTTTTACTGGTTATCTGACCTGTGAAATTTCGCCATCAGAACTACCCCAATAGTTATTCTGAATTTATTCCACACACTCTCTCCTATATGGCACGATTATTTTCATCTAACCCACCATAAAGACTGTGCTTCCAGTTTTCACTTAATTGCAACTTTTGACTGTGTACAGATAACATTCTTTTCTGTAGCTCATTCGGAAACTGTTTTTCATCAAAAGCTTTGCCTTCTCGAAGCGAATGTACTGTTAGGATTTGATAACTTAACGATAGATAACAGCACATTTTTTTTGAGAAGGAGCCGTTTTCCTTGCAAAATATGCCAACTGATATTGGCTGGAGTCTGCACTGATGATATGTTCTACATTAGTGTCGAAATGCCTGCACATAAGGCGGTGGGCTCGGCGAGCAGACCAGTGGCCGCATGATTAGCAAACAGCAGTGTAATCAGCTCGTTATCTTCGCAAGTATTGTGCATATGTTACGTGGAACTAGGAGGTTCTTGGTTTTATGAAACACTAATCCAGCAATGGCTCAAGAAAGCCCGGTCAGAGATAATTGTTCACCGTAGCTGGATTTCAGTCTGGTTGTAAAATTGTTGGATTGCTTGAACAAAACTAGTCAGCTCCTGGGCATTAACGGCATTGAAAACTTGTTGGGACAGCAAAATTACCAAACTAATGAGTTGCCCGTTTCAGTGCGAATAAATTGCACTTGAACAAGATCCAGTGCCACTAAGCCTTTGATCATTCATGTTACGATATGCGGCTTACACTTTGACTCAAATAATACAAATCAACACTCTTGAAACAAAGCATACGTCACAGAAGGCGCAAAGTACTTTGAAAACTAAGTGCCAGAACCTTGAGAAATATCAGCACCGTAATTCACTTCATAGGTGCAAATGTCATTTTAACCAGTATTTCTTGTCCAGAGCGATGAAATAAAAACAAATATAGTATGTAAGACAGTTATTTCACATGTACCTAATGGTGGATGACGTTTTATGAATTGTTTAGAAACCGTTGACTGTTCGTGGGCAATAAAATGTTTTTGTTGCTAGAACCGTGCAGTTTTAAGTCCCGACTTTTACTTCCAACGAGATACGTAATGGGTGAGAGCATAAACACTTATATCGTTCTGACCTACCGGTGCTTCGCTGTTGTAATTTCCATTGAAAAAGTGCCCTTCTAGCCTCTCCAGCTGTGTGTAGAATTCCGTCTGTAAATAGAAAAATGCACAGCTAAGCATATGTAACTCCAGTTACACGATTCAACTTCGCACATCTCCACACTTTGTATTGTTTATTGGCAGTACAGCAGGGAAGTGTCCACTGCAAAAAACAACTAGTTCTACGTGGAATTAGACATAAAAGTGAACCGTTTTCGGAAATGTAAACCCATCAGAATTGGAAAATTGTACAAAATATTTTACAATACCCCAGTGATGGACCCATCCCAAATAGATCTGCTAACGGATTCACGTGATACGTGTTGGACTAATTCAAAATATCGAAGAGATTTCTTCAATTGCTGTCCCTTATGAGAACCATACCAGTCCTGTGTATCAAACAAGAGTAAAAACTTGGAGAAATCTTATCTATTTGATGTTCCGGAAATCACGAAATGCTGTTAAAAAGGAAACGAAAAACCACTTTTGTGTCACTTTTAAAATAAATCATGAAAAAAGAACATAAGGATCGGACAGCATACGTGTGCATCCACATCCCTGGTTCAAATAGCTCTCCAAATCGCCCAAAACAAGTTTTCTGCGGTGGATTTGAGAGCAAACATTTACTCACGTTTGATCCCATTTTTAGTGTATACTCCGATGGGTATGGGACTTTGAATCCATACTACCAAATGTACGCGACTACTCCAATAAGCCATTTTGGAATTGTTACCTTCCCCCCAATGTCTTACATTTGAGCATGTTGTTGTACGTTTTGTAGTTCAGCTACCAAGAAAACGCAGTAAAACCTGCAGGCTTTGATCTGCAAAAAAAAGCTTTTCACTTTATGAATGACAGATTTATCTCATTACCTGGGAAGTTCTTGACTTTTTTTCTGTACCAAACAAAGCATGAGGAATCTTTACTAACCATTTCTTCACAAAATGGAAGCCAATCCATGCCGAGACAAGCACAGTACAGGTGTTTTCCTTTTATCGAGAACCATCGTCAGTGTTCATTTTTAAAAAAACTCCAGGGAATCTCGAACTTGAGGCCACTGGCCAGTAGTTTGAATACTCATCGGTCTGGCAACGAGTGGCTAATCAACAGTGCTTGGACAGGATTTAGCGCAGCCTATCTTCCATCCATGAAATCCATGTCACGCGGTTGCGTCCCAAATCTCA